TTCACCCTCCATCGATCGACTTCACCCTCCATCGCCTCTGGTGGCTTCAAATCAGATCCAAATCAATAGGGTTTTCTTCCCTGTGGGTCGTCACCATTGTGTGTTTTCGTTCCTGTGCAAACCAATAGTTTTGCATCATTATCCTCGTGAATCAAGGTATTTTCGTTCCTGTGCAAACTAGTAGTTGTGCACCATTATCCTCATGAATCAAGGTATTTTCGTCCCTGTAGTTTTCGTCACTATAGTTTTCGTCACTATAGTTTTCATCACAATGGAGATTTTCTTCGATTTTAGAGGTGGATTTAAGGCGTTAGATTTTAGAGAAGGAATGGTGGTGGACGGTGGTTGATGGTGGTGGGATGAGGGTGGAGATTGAGGATGGAAGGCTTAATCTGGAAGAGAAAGAAGAATTAAAAGAATCTTGGGAACATAAATAGAAGTGAAATCAGATATTATATATATTCATATGTTTGTTGGTTACAAAAGCAAACTATTAATTCAAATTTCCGACTTCAGACGTTTGTTAGTTTACTTACCGGGTAAGACTCGAGATTTTTACTTTCGTTCTTACCGGGTAAGACTCGAGATTCTTGCTTTCGTTCTTACCGGGTAAGACTCGAGATTCTTGCTTTCGTTCTTACCGGGTAAGANCTTTCGTTCTTACCGGGTAAGACTCGAGATTCTTGCTTTCGTTCTTACCGGGTAAGACTCGAGATTCTTGCTTTCGTTCTTACCGGGTAAGATTCTTAGTCTCTACCATATTCATCCGGTAAAGTAAATTGATTTGATAAGCGTTTTTACAGATAAGCATTTGATAAACGACACCTAAATTTATATATGAAAAGTTGCAATTTAATGATCATATGTTGATAACGTGTTGCGGTTTTGTCAAGTAATACAACTTGGCTTGTTTTTCCATCACTTGTGCGACCAAATAAGTGTCTGTGTCAACTTTCTCCACTTTTTCGTTTTAACTACGCATTCCCACGGGTCTATACAATATTATAATATATATATATATTGGGTCCCGATTAAAAAGAAAGTTAAGGTAAAAAGCGTAAGAAGGGATCTTTACTCTTGGATGTACATTCGGGTGAGATGTATCGAGATGAGATGCACCAAATCAATGTATGAAGCGCGATTTATGTGGGTTTAAGATAAAAAATGATCAAGGGTCTAGATCATTTCTTACGCTTCTCATCTTAACTCTCCTCCACACACACATAAATATATATATATATATATATATATATATATATATATATATATATATACAGGGACGGACCCAAAAAAAATTTTAAACGGTGGCACCATTTGACCATAAGAAAAAAAAATATAGGAATTTTTTTTTTCAAACGATGACACCATTCGACTATAGGAAACAAATATACGGATTTTTTTTTTCAAACGGTGGCACCGTTTGACTAAGAAAATGACGCTAACATGATTAGGACTTGAGTGTGGGGTGGAATAAAAGCCTTGCAAACCAACTCTACCAAATAAAACTTGTTCTCATTGTAGTTTCAAAATATATACGGTGGCACACAACAAATTAATACGATTGCACCGTTCACGAAACCTAAATTTTTTACCCTTTGGCGAAGAAACGATACGGTGGCACATGCCACCCATGGCACTTAACTAGGTCCATCTATATATATATATATATATATATATATATATAGGTGGAGGTTCAAACGAGAACCCCTGTGATTTACGAAAATGCGAGAACAATCTAATAACCTCAAACTTTTTTAATTAATAAATTAACTTATATTAAATATAAATAAATTAATAAGGGCAGTAATGTAATTAATTTATTTTATTTTATTTTAATTAGTCATAATTATCCCTTTTTTCCTGCACGTTCTTTTCCACTCTTTCCTCTCCCCTTGTGATAATTGTGTGATTGTGTAACCATAACCTGTCGAAACCATGATCAATCAAGTGTAACCATAACCTATCGAAACCATGAGTAATCGTTGTGATAAATGTGTGATTGTCTAACCCTAA